CCCTCCACTCCACAGGATAAAATGACTTAGATGAGAAGGTGGGTGGTTGGGAGTTTTGGTGGTGGTGGCGGCGAACAGATTCTTCCCAGGATCCGGGTGGCCTGAAGATTCTTGAGTCTGTGACAGTATCGTGTGCCCAGCCTCGGTCTCCACTTAACAGCACTTTACAGTGGTGGTATTACACCTACAGATTAGATTAACACTTAATCTCCCGGAGGATTTAGCCTGTGTCATAGCACACATTTGCCACACCCTCTGTAAAGCCCTGGCTTCTAAGGTTCTTTCCACCGGAAGCTATGACAGAAGGAAATGCGTGGGTGGGGAGGGGTAATGGGTGAGGGGCCCAGGTTCCTGACAGTCTACACCCAGGGAACGAAGAGCAAGCGCCATGTTGAAGCCACCCTTGCCACTCAGATCCCTCTTATTCCTGCAGCTGCCTCTGCTGGGGGTGGGGCTGGACTTGACGGTCCCCATGCCCAATGGGAATGAAGACGTCACAGCTGGTGGGAAACGTGGGACTGAAGGGGGTTGGTGAGAGGGGAGCCTGTGGGAAGGGGCCGTACAGAAATCTCGAACCTGCCACGGGGCATTGGAAGGATGCGGGCAGAACTGAAGAGTACTGTGGAGAAGGAAAAGGGGAAGGGTTCTCTGCCCCCTGCCGCTGCTTCTTCTGACCATCATTTCTGGTCTTCCCCTTCCCCCCCTCGTCTTCTCTCCAACCTAGATTTCTCCCTGACCGCTACACCCCCTGGGACCCTCAGCGTTCCCACCCTGCCCCTCCCAGAGGTCCAGTGCTTTGTGTTCAATGTTGAGTACATGAATTGCACTTGGAACAGCAGCTCTGAGCCCCAGCCCACCAACCTGACTCTGCACTACTGGTATGAAAAAGGAAGAGGGGACAGCACAAGGGAGTAAGAGGGGGGTGGGCTGGACCAAGAAAGAGGGTAAGCCAGCATCCGAGCCTCCCCACCATCTTCTCATGGGGTAAGTCAGTTCAGAGGAGATGGGGCTGGGCTGTGGTATCCGTAGTACCCAAGTTTATGCCTCCGTTCCTCTTCCTCCCAACCCTTCTCCAGGTACAAGAACTCCAATGATGATAAAGTCCAGGAGTGTGGCCACTATCTATTCTCCAGAGAGACCACTGCGGGCTGTTGGCTGCAAAAGGAGGAGATCCATCTCTACGAAACATTTGTTGTCCAGCTCCAGGACCCGGGGGAGCCCAGGAGGCGGTCCATACAGATGCTAAAACTGCAGAATCTGGGTAATTTGAAAAGGGCGCCAAGAGTCCTGGAATATATTGTGGGGCACTGGAGTATAGGGAGTGGTGTTCTTTCACCTTGAGGGTACTTAGGCAGGAAGGACGAGGTGAGGGATCGGGATCGGGAGGGGCAGAGGGATTAGGGGCACTACCTTCAGGATCCTAATTCATCTAGGCCAGGGCAATGACCACACACACACACACACACACACACACACACAAACACACATATCTCCAGTGATCCCCTGGGCTCCGGAGAACCTGACCCTTCGAAACCTGAGCGAATCGCAGCTAGAACTGAGCTGGAGCAACAGACACTTGGACCACTGTTTGGAGCACCTTGTGCAGTACCGGAGTGACTGGGACCGCAGCTGGACTGTGAGTGACCGGGGTCATGAATGTAGCAGCTCTAAGGCCAAGCAAATGGGGATGGAGGATTCAATCGGCCAAGTAGGAGGGCCTGATCTCAAGCTCCTGTTCTCTGCTTCCTGGTTCCTCTGCTCTGTCTCTCCCCTCATCCAGCTCCTTTGCCTATAATGACCAGTGGACTTTCCATTAACGTTTCCCTACCCGTACTCTTCCCAATACCTGATAGCCAAGTAAACAAAAGGGAGCCTTCCAGGGGATCTGGTGAGGAGGCATTAGATTCTAGTCGGTGAAGGGAGCAGGGTGGCTTGAGTGGTCAAGAGAGGAGGGAAGAGCTGGGAAGGACTGGATGATGGGGGGGAGGGGCCGCGGTTTTAATTCTCCCTTCTTCTTTAGACACCCATCTCTCCCTCACTCTCTTTCTCCCCAAGGAACAATCAGTGGACCACCGAAATAGCTTCTCTCTGCCGAGCGTGGATGGGCAGAAATTCTACACGTTCCGTGTCCGGAGCCGCTATAACCCACTCTGTGGAAGCGCTCAGCTTTGGAGTGAATGGAGCCGCCCTATCTACTGGGGCAGCAATACTTCCAAGGGTAAAATGGGCCTAAGACCTCACCGTGACCCATGAGCCCGGCACCCCAACCCTTTCAAGCATTGCTCTCTTTTGCTCTACCTCTCGACCCCTAAGTCCCCCAGACTTGGTGGCCCATCTCCCCTCACTGTTCAACCTCAACCCCCAGGTTGCAGGGTTTTTCTGTGTTGGGTTAGGTCAGTATGTTGTTAGAGTGGGCGGGGGGGGTGGTCGAGAAGGAGGCAGAGGGGAGATAGAATGTTTAAGATTCCCCTACAGCATTTCCGGAAAGCCTGCATGGCAAAGATAGCTTTGGAACCAGACCGATGTAGGGTTTTAAAACTGGCTCTGCTGCTTACTCCCCACCTCTTTGACCTCGGGCACATCGCTAACCTCTTTGATTCTGTTTCCTCATCTGTAAGATGGAGATAATGATTGTCCCCCCCACCCCCCGCCACTCTCAGGAGTTGTGAGGATTAAGGGTATGGGAAGTGTCTAGCACGGTGCCTGGCACCAAAGTTGGGGCACTATAGATGTTAGGTCACTTTCTCTTTCTTCTTCTTCTTTTTTTTTGTAGAGAATCCTTTGTTGTTTGCTTGGGAAGCTGTGCTTATCCCCCTTGGCTCCATGGGATTGATTATTACCCTTATCTGTGTGTACTGCTGGCTGGAACGGTGAGATTTCAGATATCCTGGGAAAATGAAGTGGGGTGGCTGGGAAGAAATAGTAGAGGAGGATTATCACAGGGTCTCCAGGAGTAGAGAGCGGGACAGTAAGGAACGAGGGATCACTCAAAGGGGGCATGGTGACGGAAGGAAGCTGCAGGCACACAGACCGCAGAATCCCTTCATTCCGTCTGGGAGAACTGGGAGAACTGGGAGAAGGGTACTAGACGAGTGTAACCAACATGCTCCTGCTCCCTCTTTCTCCTCCGTTCAGGATGTTGCCCCGCATTCCTACCCTCAAGAACCTCGAGGAACTGGTCACCGAATACCACGGGAACTTTTCGGTGAGAACACTGTCACAGGCAGACTGCAGTTTGTCGACCACTGACTGCCTCTGCCCGAAAGTCAGCCAGAGTGTGGGGGCCAGAGGGGAAGGGGAGGGGGCCTGCACTAACTGTCAGGATGTGGCTGGCCAGTGGGAGGTTGGGCTAGATGGAGAGTGACACACTGAAGAACTGATTATATAGATCGGGTGGGGCAGATGGCAACAGCGGTATGGGGGGCCCCGGGAGTCTGTGTGTCCCTTCTGTAATCACAGGCACTGCAGACCTTGTAAGAGCTCCCTTGGTACAGAGCCCGGGTCTTTTACTCCCTGCGCCTAATTGACCCCTGACCTGGAGATATCTGTCTTTAGGCCTGGAGCGGAGTGTCTAAGGGCCTGGCCGAGAGTTTGCAGCCAGACTACAGTGAATGGCTCTGCCACGTCAGTGAGATTCCCCCAAAAGGAGGGGCTCCAGGGGAGGGGCCTGGGGGCTCCCCCTGCAGCCAGCATAGCCCCTACTGGGCTCCCCCATGCTACACCCTGAAACCTGAAACTGGAGCCCTGATACCCTGACAGAATCCCAGAGCCCTGTATTCCTAAGTTGAACTAACTTCCCCTCTACCCAGCCTGGGTCCCATGCTCACCTCGCCCCCCTGTGGCTGATTCTGAATTTTATGCCCCCTGTAACTTCCCTCCCCCTCCCCGCCCCCCCCCTTCAATATCTGCTATCGTCCAATTGCCCCTTTGCCCTGAGCACGCGGCTCATCTTCCCAGATCCAGCCCCTCTTCCTCCTCGCAGGATTCCTTCTCCCGCAGTCCCTCCGTCCTTCCCTCCCTCCTTCCGTCTATCCTTCAATTATGCTCCAAGCAATGAGAAATAAAGCTTCTGTTGATGATCATCAAGAATGTCTGTTGTTGGGGCGGGGAGCAAGGGAAATGTGGGGTGCAAGGAGGGTGCGAGGCATGGTGCTGACAGGAGGAAAAAGGAGTAGTAGACTCATGATGTGCAAGGAGTAGTACCACAAATTAACTAGAGAAGAGCAGCGTTCGAGAAACTTGGCTTTTCTCTAGGTGCCCTGCACTCCTACCAGCATGCATTTTATTTTATTTTTTTTAAAGATTTTATTTATTTATTTGACAGAGAGATAGAGAGCACAAGCAGGGGGAATGGCAGAGGGAGAGGGAGAAGCAGGGTCCCTGCTGAGCAGGGAGCCTGACGCGGGGCTTGATCCCAGGCCCCCGGAATTAGGACCCAGCCGAAGGCAGACCCCCAACTGACTGAGCCACCCCTGTGCCCCTTATTTTATTTTTTACAAGATTTTATTTATTTATTGGGCGGGGAGGAGCAGAGGGAGAGGACAAGCAGACTCTGCACTTAACGTGGAGGAGCCCGACGTGCAGGGATCAATCCCAGGACCCTGAAATCACGACCTGAGCCAAAACCAAGAGCCAGAGGCTTAACCCACTGAGCCACGCAGGCGCCCCACAGGATGCATTTTAGAATTAGATTTACCGTGTTGCCCCCATCCCCAGCAAATCTTTCACAGACTCCCACCCGGGTTCTTCTCTCCTTATCCATACTCCACCTTCTGCTGCATATACCACTTCTGACCTCATAATCCCTCAACCTCAGCTTCAGGCCCCACCCCTAGGGATGTTGGCTATCCACTGCTGGTAGCTCTCTCCCATCTGCCCTGTCTGGGCCTCTTCAGCCTATGCGATCCGCTGACCTCTCCAGACCCCCAATCCTATGGGCCCACTTGTGCTCCCCCCCCCCCCGCCCCGGACCTCTAGAACATTCTCCTTCCGAATGACTCATCAGGCCTTCATCTGAAGAGTGAGAAGATCTTGAGAGCATGTTCATTTTCATCAAACATGGAGGTGAGGGGCATCACAGAACAGGAGTCTGTATGTAGGGCTGGGGAGGTTTGAGGGCAGTGGGGGGGGGTGGTCACAGGGATGGTATACCTACAGAAGGGCCACATGCCCCATCCCATGTCTTCTCAGATAATCACCAGTTTCTGGTCAATACCAATTGCTCTGTCCTTCTGTTGCCGCATTACACCCGCAATAAAGTAGGGTTGCCTAAAACAGGTGAGGAGTTAGGGGGAGGGGAGTAAAGGCCAAGGGTTGGAAGTCCGCGGGGTCATTTCGAGACTCCAAGCCCTCTGACAGGCAAGAAGAGAGCTCTTTGAATCCAACAGCTTCCTCCAATCCCTTCAGGATAGGATCACTGCCCCTTTTGCTCCCACTCTCCTTCCTTAGCTGCCCCAATAACCCCTGGCCTCCCTCCAGACACCATCGATGTGTGTGACGAAACGGGGACAACGAAGTTGCTTTTCCTGACGAAGACCCCTGGAGACTATGCCAGCAAATTCCTTACTGCTCGAAACACCTACTGTATTTGTAAGGTGGAGCCTGGAGCACCAGGTAGAGGCTTGGGAGCATTCCTGAAAGATAGGGCAGGGCCCTCAAAATGGATTGTGAACCTTGACCCTCAACCAGGTCCAAATTGACCATCTCCAGTCAGCCTAAGAAAGGGCACCGCCTCTACAACAATAGGGTAGGTTTATGCATATTATGCTCCCCCCACCTGATCCTAGGGTTGGACCTGAGGGGGACGAAATCAGGAATATCAGCTCACAGTAGCATTGGGGGTTAGGTTCCTGAAATCTTGGGCTTTGGAAGGGGGGAGACGGGGTGACAGGGGCTGGAGAGAGCACACTGCTGTGTTCACAGGAACCTGACTGGAGAATGCCCACAGAGCTTTTGTGCCTCTCCTGAAGAATCCAGAACCCGAGCTAATTGGTAAGGAGCGCGATGGAGGAAGGAGGAACATGGAGAGGACTGTACATAGCCGGGTGATAGAGTACATTCTCTATATGGAGTGAGAATTGTGGAATGAGGCAGGATCCTAGGAAAAGGGGACTACGGCCTAGGTCCACTTTAGGATGGGTGTTTCACTCAAACCGGCTGGAGTGGTGTGTGTCACTCACTCCTACTCCTCACCCCCATTTCTCGGGCACTGTCTTGATATAATCTCCCTATCACCACCCCATCGTTCCCATCTTTCCCTTTATCCTTTTCTCTTGGAGTCTCGGTGTCCCAATTCCCACCGAAAAGAGCAAAACTTAGGCACCTTCAGATCACTCCTCAGCCTAGCTTTGGGCCCAGTTATTCCAAGTGATTGCTGGAATGATGGGACGGATGGGGTGGGTAGGTAAAGGTCTCTGATCCTCAGAGGTCGGGGTAGGGGTGCCTTTTCCTAGTTCTCAGACACCTTGTGCACACAATGTGACCTTCTGGAGAGGAGCCAAGTGAGATTGCTTAGAAGCCCAGAAGCCAAGAAAGTCATTCCAATTGAATCCTCTGTGAACCTCCCAGTAAGACTCCCCAAATGTAGTCTGTCCCTGCACCCCCCTTTCCTACCACCCAACCCGAGGCTCCTGCCCCCTGTCCCCCACCCCCGGGATGAATTTCCTTTCCAAATCCAATATCCATGCCCAAGACCTCCCTCCAACCTCTCTTGGCCTGCCACGGGCCCTAGTTTGTAGAAAGCTTCCCTGCAGGGGCCTCTTTATCTACTTATGGATCCTTTCCTTTTCCAGTCCAAATCAATGGGACGATCAGATGAAGAGGGGTCCACTCGCAGGGGTCCGATCTTTAGGACCAGAGCGGACTTTCTCAGTAGAAGAGATAAACATTGCTAACTAAATAAAGTGCCCAGGTGAGAGCAGTAATACGAGGTATGAAATTACTGGAATTCAACGTGAGGTCCCTTCTTCAAGAAAGACTCCTTCTCCCAATATCTGCACCAAGGCCTAAGTGTGCCCTGGGCACCATGGAGGCTCTGAGGGTGGGTAGGAGTGGCAGGAGAGGGCTGGGGTGAGCGCATGGGTGGGAGTGAGGCAAGACTGTGAAGTCTGGTACAAAGAGCCTTTGAGGGACAGAGTAGGGGGTGGGGTCCTCTCCAACCAGACTACCTCCCCTTGAGAGGCCTATCACAGCCCGCCCACTACTGCTGGGGTTCCGTGAAGGATGGGCATCTTCCCTCCCCCCCACCACGATGATCCACCAACTCCCTCTGCTGAAATTCCCCCAGCCCCCCACCTCTCCTCCGCCTCGGAGTAGTCCCTCCTGCCAGTCCTCTGCCTCCCCCACCCCTTATCTGAGGGGAGCAGCAAGGCGGCAGAAACCAGAGCTGGTTATAGGCATTTATTGAATTTATTCATTTATTGATTTGACACACTTCCCCACTCCAATCTAGCACATGATACAATCTGGGTAGGCCAGGCGCTGACACAGGAAATGATGGGAACCCACAGCAGGGGCGGGGGAGGGGACAATGCAAAGGGGACTGGGGGAGGGGCTGCTCTGGGGGCTGGGGTGGGGAAGGAGCCCCAGATGGCCACCCTGGCAGGTGCTAGTAAACCTGATCCACATTCCCCTCCATCCCCGCTTGTTTCCCAGACCCTCGGCCAAGCTCCCCAGCTCCCCCTGCCCTGTTCCACCCCTCCCCCCCTGCTTGCCACCACACACACTTCCACATAACCCCTGTAGTCAGGCAAGGGGAAGAAGGGCAGGGACAGCTGTCAGGGGCCTGGAACAGGGAGGTCTCTGTGCCTAACTTTACCACCCTAAATCCTTCCCTCCTCTTCTCCCCCACCCCCTCCCACCCCTTTGCAGGCCACAAGCTAATTCCAGGCCTTCAGTGCACTCTCCCACCATAGCGCTAACCCGCAGTGGGTCATGCGAGAGTGTGGCTGCACCCCCAACACCACACACTCCCAGACACAAGGTGAACCACGGGGCCTGGCTTAGCTTTTTCCATAGGGAAACTCTAAGCTAGGTCGGCGCAGACCTTGTTCCAGACATCTCCACGGCAGAGCTTTCCCCCTTGCCCAGTACAACTCTCCACTGCTGCTCCCCTGCCCCCTGCTCTCTGGCGGCCTGGAGCTCGCTCTCTCTCTCCCCCCCCCCATGTTTCCCCAAGTAATGTCTGTAGTGTTTGCATCAAGTCACTATGACAAAGCCTTCAGAAAGAAAAAAAAAAAGCATTCTCCCCATCACTAGCACCTTGCCACTGTTAAAAATCTCTATATTTGTGTTTATATCTCTTTAAAAGTTTATAAAAAGCCTTTCTGTTATCTGCAGCCTTCCAAGGGTGATTTGGCCTGGTGAGCCCCTCCAGTGCTCAGACCTTGGCCCTTCCAGGTCCCTACTACCCCACCCTACCCACCCCACCCCACTGGCCTAGGGGGCCACTGCATAAAAATCCCAGGCTCAAGCTAGCCTGGACCAGCTCAGGTAAGACTACAAAAGATCCTGCTCCCAAAGGCAGGGGTAAGGCCACTGGTGACTTCACATTTCCAACAGCATTGCCCACCCCTGCTCTGAAACCCAGGGGGCGGGAATGGAGGGAGCCAAGGATGGCTCCCAAGAGGGGGCCTCACCCCCTAATTGGCACAGTGAGAAGAAACCCTTTCCCTTTCCCCCCACCCCTTTCCCTCCCTCCCTCCACAGTTCCCATATGGGGCAGCTTTATCTTTAGAAATTCCTCAAAGCCCCCGTGTGAGCAGACCCCACCCTAGCTCTAAAGCAGGGTCCTGAATTCCCAGGGAGGGGTCAAGGGTAAAGAGTGGATATGGGCAGGCCTGGCTCCACAGCTGAAGCAGGGGACAAAGCTTCCAGCCATGGCTCAGGGATCTGTGGGAAGAAGAAATGGAAGACAAAGTAAGAGGCTCATCTGGGGCATGACAACTTTCCACCATTAAGGTCCACCCCCCCAAAAAAACCCCCACAAAAAACAGAGACAGCCCTTCCCCCTACCTTGCCTGTGCTGCTGCTAGGGGCGGGCACTGCTGAGGGGCCTGGAGGTCCCATCGGGGAGCTACGCCCCTCTAATACGACACCCTCCTTCCCATTCCCCAGGGGCTCCAGCCACCGCCCTCCTCCCTGGCCTCCAGTTCTAAAGCTCCCTCTTGCTCAGATCATGGCACCAGCTGGGCACCTAGGAGTGGCTGTAAGTTGTGAGATGCTACCGTGGATGAAGAGGTGTCCTACCTGGCTCGAAGTTGAAGTCCAGTCCCTCGCCCCCATCCATGAGGTCGCTGATGATGTTATCCACGTCACACTCCAGGTTCTCCATATACATGTCAAGATCCAGATCCTGAGGCATTCGGTCTTGGCTTGCAGCTTCAGTACCAGGTGTGAGCACAGGAGCCCCCAGGGGCTTGGGGATGGGAGCCCCTGCCATGACTGGAGGTGGTGCTATCATAGAAAGGGTGGGGACCAGACTGCTGGGGCCCGGGGCCTCTAGCGGCTTGGGACAGAGGCCGACTCCTGTGGCTAGCTTGCTGGAGGAAGGTAGCCCCCCCAGCAACAGAAGTGTTGGAGCCTGGGACAGAATGGGGTCTACCTGGGTCATGAGCACATCGGCAGGGGGTGGTGGCGTATCAGAGGTGAGCAGGGCCTCCAGAGACTGGGGGCTAGCAAAGCACCCTTCTCCTGCTGCCAGGGACCCCTCTGCTGAGCTGAAGAGGGAGGTGCTGTAGGTGTGTAAGGGACCCGGGACCCCAGGATGCTGCAAAGAGAAGCCAGAGAGACTACTCCGAGAGAGCAGGGAATGGGACGAGGTGAGATTGAGCCCATCTAACAGCTCGAGATCTTCATTTAGGGTGGGAGGGACACCCCCTGCATAGCTGCTGACTGAGGCTGGCATCTCTTCCTCGGCCAGCACCTCAGACTCTGGCCTCATGGGGGAGTGCCGAGTGCTGATGGTGCTGGCGTTAGAACTGCTTCGTGGACGGAACGTGGTCCACACATCGGCCTCTTCGCGGTTTCGCGAGCAAGGGCTGCCTGGCCACTTGGGAAAGTGGCCCACCGGGCTCGTTGGAGTGGCGCCTTCGGGTGGAGCCGGCAGCACGGCAGGTTTCTTCTTGGGGGCCTTGCTGCGGCCCCGAAGCAGCTTGCTGCTGCTATCCATGGAGGCTGCCCGGCGGCGGGGAGCCTTGCCACTCTTGCCTCCTTCAGGATTCAGCATCCACCAAGAGCTCTTGCCGGTAGCCTCGTTGTGAACCTTGATGAACTTGCTGTGCAGGGACAGGTTGTGGCGGATGGAGTTCTGGAGGGGGCAGAGGCAGTGGGAAAGGGGCATGAGCTCCGTGCAGGGGAGGCCAGTGGCCAGCAGCCCCACCTCGAAGGACGCTGGGACAGAGCAGGGGCATTCCTAGAAACCCAGAGCTATCAACCCCCCGGGGGGGGGTAACAGGCAAAGGTAGGGGTGGGGAGTGGAGCGGGGTGTGGGGGGGAAGACCATACACAGTTCCCACCCAAAGACGAGATGCTCAGCCTCTGCTGCTCCAGACGTCTCTGCACAAGGGCCCAGGACACAAGCCGAGTAACAACCTACTGCCGAGGGCACTGGGCCCGTTCTGGAAAAGCTCACAGCACTGCACTCCTCCCAGGTCTCTGGGGGGCTGTCTGGGGCTGGTGGGCATTTATTGGGGAGACACACTCCTGATTCCACAAGAACTAGGATTAGGTGGGAAAGAATTCCATGGCTCCAGCCTCTTTCCTTGAGTGTAGGCTTGGGTGGAGTTTACGGGACAGTGGTATGACGCCAGCCCAAGACTGGCCCACCCTGTCTTGAGCCAGTTCTCTGACTAGGCTGAGGGGCTGGAACCTCAGCAGAGAGAGCACTCTACTCCGCATGGGGCATTTGAGCCCCAGCTCTCCGGAGGATTTGAAGATCTCTCTCTCTTTTTTTTTTTCCTGATTCCTCCCAGTCCTTGGGCAGACACGCTCAACTACATTCAGGCCAGGCGCCTCGCTGTGCCTCAGATACACAAGGCACGTTCCTTTCTCCCTCCCTCCTCGTCCTAGGAAGGGTCTCCCTTCTGTAAATTCTGCTAGTTCCTCAAGACCAAGCGTAAGTTCCCTCCCTTCTATTAAGCGGTTGCCTGACTTCTGCGGCCAAATCTCTCATATGGTATTTTTAATCTGTTCCACACAATCTGACCCAATCTATATTGTATTATTTACAATTTCACGTAATTAGTCTCATCGAGTATAAGCGCCCATGGCACAGATCGTGTTGTCCAGTCAGGCAGCCCTCAACGGCGCCCCCTCGGAGTGCCAAGCTCCCAGGACATAATCAGTACTTTGTCGCCTTATTGGTGAGTGGCCCTGGGGTGACAATAGTGAGCCTGCCCTTGAGGCTCTATCAGCTTTGAAGCGCCTTGGGTATTGGAAGCTCCGTGTCCTCCCTCCCTTCCTCCTTCCCTCCCTCTGTTCTCCCTTCCTCCCTCATTGCTGATATTCCGCTAGAGATAAGTTTTTTCCCAGGGGCCCAAGGAGCTGAGATTGGCAGCTTCTTGAGCCCCCAGAGCAGCTTCTTTCTACTGGTTGCCCCAGGCTAGTTACACCATCCTTTTGTGTCGTCCCCCCCCCACATCCCTTCCCTGTCCTACCTCCTTTCCCCTACTTCCCCTCAGGAATTTGTGCCTAAGATCTCCAACCTTAGGGGCATTTGACCTCCCACAAGGAGCTCTTTGGTGTTTAGAAACTTGGGAGGAGCCCAGGAAGGCTCGGAACTACTTGGCTGAGGCTCTGACTGGTGCTCCAGATAAGGAGACCCTCTGCCTGGGGAAAGATGCTCAAGTAGCTTGCTCCAGAGTTCTTTAGCCAGAGAATTCCTTGTCTCCCTGGGACCCTTCAGTAACGGCTACTACCCTGGCTGCATTGGTACTCCTCGTTCCTTGAAGGGAATGGAAACTTGTCCATCTAGACAGTAACTGTCCAACCTCAGTAACGGAGCGCCCCCGTGACTTCTGGCACTGAGATTCCCACCCCCCCACCCCCCCACCCCCGTTCATCCGTCAGCTCTGGCTCTACTGAGAAGCTCCATTCCTCTCTCTACACTCAATACCCCAAGGGGCCCATTTGGTTAACCCCTCTTCTTTAGACTTCAGAACTAGTACATAGTACAACGTCCTACCTGGAGAGGTCAGCTCCCTAGAAGCCTATAATGCCTACCTGTTGGAAGCCGGGGGGGGGGTGACTCCTAATTGTCCCCCCAAGCCACCTAAAACAAAACTTTCTTGTTCTTAGTGAGTGCCACCCCCTGGTGGGGTGGGAGTACTTCTGGCCCACCACCAGAGGAGCCAGTTCAGGGCCCCCCAAGGCTTACCCCTTGGAGTGGGGCGGGGGTGGGGATGGGGGATGAGAGGCTGGGAGGCCCTAAGCTTAGCTTGATTTGGCTTCGCCATCATTCAAGTGAAGAGAATTTGGCAGCATGGACTAGCAGAAAGAGGATATGATTTCTAGGTAGACCTGAGTTCAGGTCCTTGCTCTACAGATACCAGGAGAGCTTCCTGTCCTTTCTGTACCTTAGTTTCCCAACACGTAAAATGTGAAGTCTCACAATTGCTGTGACGATTAATAAAACAAAACAAAACAAAACTTAAAAACTACTTTGTAGACAAAAACTCCGCAAATAAGTGTAAATTATAAGGAGGGACTACACTCCCACTGCATAACTAACAACTCACGATTATTTCTTCTACCCTGGAAAATGAACCTAAGGCAAAAGAAAAAAACAGCTGTGTAGGCTGGGTCCAAGGAGGGGAGCTCTTTATGAGCTGAGACTGTGGCGTGGCAGTCTACCCAGAAATAGTGCCAAGGGTCTCAGTCAGCTGTCCTGTTTTCGGTCCGGCCCAGCTCCTGGGGATACTGCAGATCTGATCACTCGATCTCCTAGACCTAGGGGAGGACCCTCTGCTCATTCAACCCTCTCTGCTTCCTTGTACGCTGATCTCACCACCCACGGGGGTGCAAGATGCCAAGGGGCTGAAGCTCCCCATTTTGTGATTAGAGTCCCATATTCCTCAGGACAAGTTTTCAGAGCATCTAGCAAGATCTTTCTTCCCAGTTTCTTCATGGAAGGCAAAGGGAACTCCCAACCTTGTGCTCCAAAGTCAGATCCCTAGCTCTTTTTTTCATAACTATTATTCCTCAACAGTAAATGAAAACTCTCCCCTGGCCCCTGCCACCCCAGACTTAGATAGCCCCTTGCTAGGGAGAGTTTCCTAGCACTACAGGGTAAACTGAGGCAGGTAGCAGCTCATGGCCCTTTTTTTCCTCCTGGTCCATAAGAGCAGCTACTTTACCCCAGGAATATCACCTTTTCTCACCTCTGCCACTCTACCCCCTCTTCTTGGGTAGAGCCGTTCTAGCACAGTACCTCTACCCTGAGGTATTGAGAGGCAAGTGGGGAATCCAAGTAATCCCACAGGAATGGGAGAAAAGGTGTTGGGGTGGGAGGTGGGGGAGGAAGGAAGGCTAGGTTCATGTGGGGAATCCACACAGTTCCTGCTGTACATAGGATAAAGACTTCTCTGTGGAAATAAGTGTCTGGGGCAGCTCAAGCCAAAGTGCTGGGAGTGTTGAGCAGTGAGCAGAGAATTCAATTTTCTCCAAGGCAAGGACAGTGTCTTATTCATCTGCGATCCTCCAGCATCAAGCACTGAGCAGTGGCATATACTATGTCCTAAGTAAATGTTTGTGTAATTGATGATTTGAAGGTGGATCTCTGGGGTAGGGGCATAAAAGGTGGCCCGAGAACGGCAGTAAGGAGGCTAGGGGGCCCAAGGGGCAGATGGTATTGGGACAGAGGTAAGGGGGTCATAGTTACCTTCCATCCTGCTGAGCTGTTGCTGTCACCCTTGTCCTTGAAGTAGGGCACAGTGCGGACCATCCACTCATAGATCTGGGCGAGTGTCAGTCGCTTCTCGGGGGCGCTTTCAATGGCCTGGCTGATGAGTTCTGCATATGACTGATTTCCCCAGGCATTCCGGCGGGAGCCTCCCTTCCGAGGACCTGTTACAGCCCCCAGGATCCCGGGCTGGGGGCCCCCTGCCGGCTCTGGGAGCTGGGAGGGCAACAGGGTCGGCTCTGAGTGCCCCTCCGTGTGTACCTTCTCTCCCAGACCTGGCTCCACCTCGGGCGGCTCGGGCGGCTCAGACGGCTCAGTAGCGAGCTCTGGTCGGGGAAGGGGCCAGGTGCAGGAGCGGGGACGGCTCTGGGGTTCGAAGTCGGGATCGAGGTCTATGATCGCGGCAGCCTCTGTGGCTGAATTCTCATTCCTTGGATCCATACGTGGAGTTGGACCTCCGCCGCTCAGCTTTCAGAGGAGCCTGCCACCGTCCCTCGCGATGCCTCCCCCCAGGGGGGAAGCACCGAGGGCCAGGAGGCACATTCCTGCCAGTCCTCAGAAAGTCGCGAACTTCCCCCTCGCCCCAGGACGCTAGCCCCCAGGCTGTCCCTTCCACACAGTTCTCTGATCCTCTTCTCGACTACAAGCGGACAGCCTCGGAGCTCTTTCCGAGACACCACCTGTAACCTCCGCCTAGCGAAGACACTTTTTCTCCAACCTCTCACTCAGCTTCCTGCTCTTTTAAACCTGAGGCACGGTATCCCCTCATACATTGCGCTCCCATCACCGAACGTCTCCTTAGCCGCAGTTCCCTCCCCCTTTTAAGTTGCTGCCCCCCGGACACTCCTCCCAAATTTCCTCCACCCGGATCACTGCCCTCCCCCACGCCCCGCTCCCCCGCGTCACTTGCCCCTCCCCTAGCTGCCCCTCCCCCCGCCTCTTCCCTGCACTCCACTCTTAATAGGCCCCGCGGCCCCGCGGCCCCAGCCTCCCTTATTCCCGCACCAATTCCCCTATCGGCCCCCCCCCACCCCCCACCCCCGGGTTCCCTTTTTGTTTTGCTCCGAGCAGCAGCCCCCGCCTGACGTCTCTGTTTACCACTCGCCGGGGCAGCCATCTGCGCACGCGCCTGGAGAGCCAGTTGGGAAACCGAGTTCTTCAGTCGTGCCACCCTGGTCCGCCTTAGGGGACTACATTTCCCGTCCTACTTCGCGGCCAGGAGCCCGATAAGGGCGGCTGGAGAGCGGCGTGGCAGGATATAGGGAGGTGGAACTTTATTTATTAGAGGTCGTCGCGGACTTTTTCTTTTCTTTAAAAGTCATTTTCCTCCTTCCCCCCCCTTTCCCACCTCCTCCCGTGTGACTCCGGGTCGCCTCGGTGACCGTGTTGAGAGGCGCTAGACCTTTCTCCGTCTTTCCGTGAACGGCGGGCAGTAGGGAAAAATGCGGTCTCTTACAAGAAGCAGAAAACCGAGAGGCAAGAAGCCGAGAACGGACTAGAAAATAGGCTGTATGCAGGTTCGGGAGTTGGGTGAAGGGCTTGTGCAACATAAACAAATGCTGGCGATAGTGTCTCCTCTACCCACCTCAAGCCCCCGTACGCAATTCACGGTGACAGTGCGATCGCTGACCAATCAGTTTTCTCCACTGGCTCCTCTGGCCTCCCCTGAAATACTGATATTCTCCAGGTTCCCATCTTGGGCGGCTTCGCTTCTCATTCAACAGGTCCCAAACGAAGCGCATTATCTGCTCTTGCACCCACACCCCTATACTCTGGCTACCCTTATCTTGATTTTGGTTACCAGTTGTCCTGATCTGCCCAGTCCTCCAAGCTAGACTTCCCCCTCGCCTTTTCATCTCTTTAGCTTCTCCCGTCCAGATCCCAGTCCAGACTTTATTTATCACTGGATTAAGTTGCAATATCATCTTAGTCGGACCTCCTGCCATCAGTCTTTTCCTCACCGTGGTTTATGTTCCGTGCTGCCAACAAAGTTACCCTTCTAAGAAACACTCCTGGTAATAGAGGCTAAAACGTATGGAGCACTTATTATGTGCCCGGCGCTGTGCCGATTGCCTTACATGCATTAGCTCATTTACTCCTCAAATCAACTGGGTACGGTAGGTACTGCTATCAACCCCATTTTATGCATGAAAACACGAATGCTCAGAAATTCAGTGCCATTCCCAGAGTCACAGCTAGGAGGCAGGAGAACTGGGATCATATCACTTACATGTGACCAGAGAATTTCCCTGCTTGAAACGTCCTTTGATTTTCCCTATTGCCTATGTGATAAAGTTCAGACTCTCTAGCAAGGTACACGCGTCTCTTCAGGTTCAGGCCACTTCCCACCTTTCCTGCTTCATCTTTCACTAGGCACACTAAATTCCAACCAGTCGGAGTTTTGTACTATTTCCGGGAAATGTCGTGCCCTTTTCTACCTTTCCCTCCACCTCCTGGGATGTCCTCCCTCTCATCATCCCCTCCCCAAGCCTCTTATCTTGGAACATTCCTATTCAGCCTTTCTTGTTCCCCTTAGGTGGACTTCTCCCTTTTCTGCGTTTCCAAGAACTTTGTGCAGGCTTGTGTTATACAGCATAAACCATATGGTACTGTAATGATTTCTTTACATGTATGTCTCCTCCACTAAACCGAACTCCTTGGGGACAGGGGCAAGGTTTACGTATCTCTGTGACCCTAGCCTGAGGTCCGACTCGAGAAATGCTGGTAGAATGAATGGGATCAGGAATTGAATGGCATTACATTTGTACATTTGACAACTTTTTAGTAAACGTATGGTGGGTACTTTCTGTCTGGCCGTGCCTCGGTTTTCCTGTTAGACAGCGAACTCCTAGGGGCAGGGACTATAATTTAACTTGTCTGTATAGTGCCTAGCAGTGTGGCTTGATATGTGCTACGTGATGGTGATGCCTTCCTCCTTGTCAGGAAGGACAGCTATACAACTCGGCATTTTTCAGAGGTGGCAGGATACTGGGCCTTCAAAGTGATATTAGTCTGCTCATGGTAACATAACCATCTTGGTGCTACACATTCCTGCCTCCTTCTCCTCCAGACTGCATGTGTGCTCCATCTGTCACGAAGAGGGTAAATAGAAGACCATGTATTCCTACCTGAGGTCCAGACTTGAGAGATGGGGCATCGTTGCTCACAATGCCTACAAACATTTCCTGCATATATGCCTCTTCGTCCTGCAGCACAGCCTGGCGTGCATGGTAAGTGAATCTGATACAAGAGAGTGCCTGGTGGGCACTAGGTCACAAGGAGCTCTCTTTGAACTGAAATAGGTGTGGTGACAGATCATGCAGAGCTGCTGAGGCAGAGAAATGGCAGGGTGGGGCAGGCACCTGTCCTGGCTTGAATGATATCTTGCATTGTCTCCCTTGTGCATTTCTTTCAAAAGGTCCACCTCTCCACCAACTCATGTCCATCACCTCCTTAAATTTCCAATTCAAAGCTCGAATCTTAGGTGCTCTTGGAAGCTTTCCCTGACTAGCCCAACCTGACAGATCACTCATCTGCTTTCCGTCTCTTGAACCTCTATGAACTCAGTTTGTATTCTTTAATTTTGTGCTGGCGGTTACATAGCTTTTCATTTCATGAGGGCATATTGTCTCCCCAACTAGATTACAAACTCTGAAATCAATCAACAAATACTTATTGAGTCTTTAGTGTTGAGATGAGAGTATACCTTGAAATCCTAGAAAGACGAAAATGACCATAACCCATAGGACCAGATGATTTAGGAGGGTGAGTTAAAGGATCTGTGGAATAGTAAAAACACTGCTACTTTAAAACATGTATCCGGAGAGGTCAAGGTTATTCACTTTATTACTGTGGGCGTGTTAGAATATACATTAGTCAAGGGACAGAGTTAGCAAGGTAGCCTTGGAAAATAAAAAAGATATTGGTCAGAAAAAAGGACTAACAGGAGGCCCCCAAAAAACAGACTGTAGTAATAAATTATGAACAGATATGGCAAGATATGGGTGGGGTGGGGAGGCAGACTTTTTCCCCAGTTGCAACCCCAGAGTTCATGGTCTTAACTGGCTTCCCATTCACAACATGTTTTTCTTTTTTTCCTCTTCAAGACCGTAGAGGGGTCTGACTCTCTTGCCTCCTTCACTGCCACCACCCCCAACCCTGCTGCCAAATCGGCTTTATTAATTTGAATCGGGATAGCTATTTCCCCACTTTTTTCTTATCCTGCCCAGCTCTGAAAAATCACCCAACCCTCCCTAGTGTCTGTATAGGAGTTTTTGCCAGTAACTACGGGGAAAGAAGAAAGGGTTAACAAAAATGACAATGAGAAAGTTCCAGGAATCTCAGAGAGCACCACCTCTACTTGTCTCTGGTCTTCACAGACATGCATGGAATGTACATAGTTTTGGTAGCCCTCTTCCTTAAGTCCTTCTTTATGTGACTCTGTGAAAGATTTCTAGTCCTTCTCTTAGAAGCCAGCACCACCCTCCCAATCCTGTCGTTGGTTTTTTTAAAAATCTTCTCAGTTAATAATACTTTCTTAGGAGCCTACTGTTTTAGGGGCACCTGGGGGGCTCAGTAGGTTAAGCATCTGCCTTCGGCTCAGGTTATGATCCCAGGGTCCTGGGATGGAGCCCTGGAGCGAGCCCCATGGTGTGGCAGGCTCCCTGCTCAGTGGGGAGTCGGCTTCTCTCTCTTCCTCTGCAGCTCCCCCTGCTTGTGCTCTCGTTCTCTCTCTCTCTGTCAAATAAATAAAATCTTAAAAGAAAAAAAAAAAGCCTACTGTTTTCCAGACACCGGGCTGGGTGCTTTTACATAAAGTGGACCCCAGACTAAAGTCTTTAGGTTTAGCCCCAAGTAGATTTGAGTTGCTACCCCTACTAAGTTCAAGGCAACTCTCAGTCTTTCTGGACCCTGAAAGTTAGTCCAATACAGTGAAAAGAGCACTAGCTTGAGTCAGGAGATCTGAGACCTTGTCATAGCTCTGTCACTAACTAGTTCAGGCATGATAATAATTACAGTACTATCAAAAAGTAACATTTATTGAGCTTTTATTATGTGTTAAGTACTGTGCTAGGTGCTTTATGTGGATTGTCTGATTTGATCCACACAAGAAGCATGTAAGTTAAATGCTGTTTTTCCCTTTCAGAGAGGAAAATGAGACTCGGAGCGGGTAAGGCATCTACTTATGGTCCGGTGTTACTAAGTAGCAGAGCAGAGAGACAAATCCAGGCATTCTGACTCCAGAGCCTACACAAGTCAATTTGCCTCCTCTGGCTTTGGTTTCTGCAGTTGTAAATGAGCATATTATATTAGATGATAGCTAACGTCTGTCCCAGCTCTAAAATCCTATTTCTTGTGATCTCCAATCTGGATATAAGACCCCAGATTGCCCTTCTGGCCTTAGGCTTCCCTGAGCTTACACTTCACACCCATGCAATTCGGTTCTGCCCACCCCCCCAAACCCCCCCCCCCCCGGTTGGAATAAGGTCCACAAAGCTTCATCTCTTAGCTTTTGGGCTCACCTGAACTGACTTTCCAGCTTCGTCTTTAACCCTTCCTGCAGGTCTCAGTGGTTTCAACCTTTGAAAGTCCTACTGGAAAAAAAAGAAAGAAAGAAAGTCCTCCTGGCATGATATTTACCGGGGTTTTCAACCAGAAGAGTTTCCAGTATAGGAAACATGCTTATATTTATTTTATTTATCTTTTACATGCTTGTAATTTAAAGTTACATGAAAAGAGCAGGATGTGATACTTTACATGCTATATGCTCATAATTTTGTTTAAAATAGGGCGCCTGGGTGGCTCAGTTGGTTAAGCGACTGCCTTCGGCTCAGGTCATGATCCTGGAGTCCCGGGATCGAGTCC